CATGCATGTAGCACCAAAAAAAATAATCACATGGTGCATTTCCTCAAGCAACACACAGAGTAGCCTAAGAGTATATGTTGGTAACACCCTCAACGAACTCTCACTATGAGGATATACTATTAGGGTATAGTCAGAGCAATGAAGTTACGCAAGCTCTACCCTAAGCACAAATGGGAAAAATTAGGGTTTCACAAACTCAGTTGTCCCCAAGGACTAATTCCTAAACTTTCACATAAGGGGGCCTTCCCTAGTAGTGTATTTCATAATGTACCCTTCAAAAACATTTATGCAAATGATGAATGTCAAACAAGACTCTATGCAAGGATACATTACATTATCATATCATTTCAATTGTCAACTATTCCCATATCATATAAGTCATCAACCATTTTCTAGTGTTATACAAGTCATCAACAGTTTTTAGTTATGTACTATATAAATTCAAATAAATCAATTTGTTACTCACATTTAGTAGCATGAGAATTATATCAAAAGAATTCAAGGAATTAACAAAGGAAGATCACAAAATCTAGAACGATGTTTAGCGGCATGCATTTTGCACCCAGCGTGGAACCTCAAAAGAACCATGTTATCTATGTTTGAACCACACCCGATGTAACTAAGTTCGCACCTAACAGAAGCGTCATAGGGGAGCCCTTGGATCTTTTGTAGCCAATGAGGGTTATCTCACACTCGATGTGAGCGGCCCTGAGAGCAAGCTTTGCTCTAGGCCTCGATGATGCCCAATGAGCTCAACTCGGTGCCTAACATCGTATCAAAAAACACACATTCTATGGAATCATGAATTTTCGAACCAAAGCATCCAATACACATAATTACATTTCAATCAGTAAAAGCATTCTAGTATATGCACTAATCATAAACAAGGTGCAAATTATGCTTACTAAACACATATTCAATTAATATCCTCAAACAATCATCGATGCATTCCTTTAGGATTCTCACAAGAATTCACGAGGTCAATCAAGATTCACAATTTCAAACCTAAACACAAAATTAGAGGCATTAGCCTTTACATAACCTTAATTATTACATCAAAGAGCAACAAAAAAGACAAAGATACATTTTTGGGAAAATCCTTCACATACAAACCAACAACAAAGACAGGATTGTGGGATGCCAATACCTAACATACATCCCATGTCCAGAGAAAGACTACTCTATCCCCCTTTACTTTGGTTCTCCAAAGCCTTCAAAGAGCAAATGTACGTGAAAATAGTAAAGAGCATAAAAATGAAAATTGATTAGGAAACTTCTTTTAAAAACTTAACTCCCTCTTAACGTCACAGTTAAAAACAATTAATCCAAGTTACAATTTCCTCCCCTCAAAAGAATTAAACAAATAAATCATTTAATAATAAAACTTTATAATATATTCATATATGTATAAAATAATTAAAATAATTATCAAAACCAAACCAAATATTGATAACCAAATATAACAATTAATAATAACAAAAATATAATTTTAATGGAAAAATCAGGGTGTTACAACTATAATAGAACACTTGAAGATAACTAAGCATATATATAAATAGAACACTTGAAGATAACTAAGCATATAATTATATATGCTTAGTTATATGTAACATTTCTTATAAGTGTTCAATATAAAATTGGGTATTCACACAGTGGTGAATGGGGATAATTGCCCCTACAAGATAATTTTTTTCCCATAAAAAATAGGTGTTATTGTGACACTGTACCTCACATATGCAGATAATTTAAAACATTTAAAACTTCCTAATGTATATATAAAGATACTTCAAACTCATGCATAAATAGTCAAAACAAAACCTCCAATTTGGGGTAAAGAGTCACATAACAAGTTTCAAAACAAATTTCATACTAATGCAAAATTATAACACTAAACATAACTCTTGTACTTAGAAGTTAAATAAGAATATCCTCAATCTAAGTCCCAATGTCACATATCCTATTATGTATCGTAACCGACATCATCAAGAATCTAAAAAACACTACCTACAATCACATACATATAACCAAGATATGGAAACAAAGGAGAGTGCGTGAGAAAACTTCTCACTCTAATTTATGGCATGGAATAAGAAACAATTAACCAAACACACTCCATACATTATTTATACAATAACATGATAATAACAATTAACTATCACAACCATTCAATCATCACTACCAACACAATCACTTATTAACATGTAATGGACATGGACTCTCAATTTGCATGCATGTGGTACCAATGTCATTATATGCATAGTGGATATGAAACGATTGTCGATTTGCCAATTTGCATGCATGTGATGCAGGTTACATAGATTCTTTCATAACATGAAATTATTATACATACACATATGTTAATGATTTGTCACTCAAACAATTTGCCATGCATATGATTTTCCATGCTCTCAATTGTTATTAATGATACCTACACTTTACCATATACACAATTTACCAACGAGAATCAGGTATCTCATTAATTTAAGAAATCTATCAGACATACATATTCATGTCACACTCATTAACATTCATATACAGTTAGTGCCAGGCGAAAATCCATCCGCATCCGATGCAACTCATCTCGAAAAGCACTCATAACTCTCAGGATGACTCACGCCCCAACGTGACCCATGTCATGCTTGACGAGATAATAGTAGGGACTCCCTTGGAGCCCCATGCTTGGCGAGCCTCAACCCATGCTCGGTGTGAGTATCACATAGACTCACGACCTCGATAATGCCTGACATAAACAAAACAGGGAGTGAACCTACTCTCGGGAACCCCAATGCTCAACGAGACGCAAGTGGCACCTGGAGCCATATTAGAACATCCAAAACCTACAAAATTTTGAAAAATGCGATTTGGGAACCACAACTTGCACAAAACAATTCAATTTCTAAAACACCCTAATTTATTCAAACAATACATTTATAAGGCACGAATCTCATACAATCACACTTTATTAATCACCCACACAATAATCATTCAACGCATGCCCTTAGGGTTTCACAAGAAACTCAATTCTTACTTAAAGAGCTCAATACACAAAATTAATTATTTATAAGCACAAATTATAAAAATTTTGGGAGTAATAGAATCATGTGGAAGACAATCAACAAGAATAGAAAATAATTGAGATTTTTCCCTTCATACAACGCATACAACGTACAAAGGTTGAGGGTCAACCTCACTATCTATCAATTATTCCACACCCTAGAGCGAGAAATTCTCACTCTCCCCTTACCTCTATCAACAAACAATGAAGAACGAGGATCTCCGAGATGATCTTATTCTATCTCTTTTCCTCCTAGTTCTTTAGAGAGTAAAAGAAAAATGAGGGCGTGAGCAAAAAATTGACGTGTTTCTTTTTTAAATTTAAAACTCGTCCTCCCTCTAACCCATCCTTAGTTACTTATTCATAACTCTAGTTACCTATTCCTTCTTTTCACTTTATAATAATAATAATAATAATAATAATAATTACAACAACAACAATAATAAAATATTATAATAAAATATAATTCTCATATAATTTACTCAAAGCAAATATATAAAATTGTATTTCAACCTTAAAATGCTCTCTAACATCATCATTAATTTAAGAAATCTATCAGACATACATATTCATGTCACACTCATTAACATTCATATACAGTTAGTGCCAGGCGAAAATCCATCCGCATCCGATGCAACTCATCTCGAAAAGCACTCATAACTCTCAGGATGACTCACGCCCCAACGTGACCCATGTCATGCTTGACGAGATAATAGTAGGGACTCCCTTGGAGCCCCATGCTTGGCGAGCCTCAACCCATGCTCGGTGTGAGTATCACATAGACTCACGACCTCGATAATGCCTGACATAAACAAAACAGGGAGTGAACCTACTCTCGGGAACCCCAATGCTCAACGAGACGCAAGTGGCACCTGGAGCCATATTAGAACATCCAAAACCTACAAAATTTTGAAAAATGCGATTTGGGAACCACAACTTGCACAAAACAATTCAATTTCTAAAACACCCTAATTTATTCAAACAATACATTTATAAGGCACGAATCTCATACAATCACACTTTATTAATCACCCACACAATAATCATTCAACGCATGCCCTTAGGGTTTCACAAGAAACTCAATTCTTACTTAAAGAGCTCAATACACAAAATTAATTATTTATAAGCACAAATTATAAAAATTTTGGGAGTAATAGAATCATGTGGAAGACAATCAACAAGAATAGAAAATAATTGAGATTTTTCCCTTCATACAACGCATACAACGTACAAAGGTTGAGGGTCAACCTCACTATCTATCAATTATTCCACACCCTAGAGCGAGAAATTCTCACTCTCCCCTTACCTCTATCAACAAACAATGAAGAACGAGGATCTCCGAGATGATCTTATTCTATCTCTTTTCCTCCTAGTTCTTTAGAGAGTAAAAGAAAAATGAGGGCGTGAGCAAAAAATTGACGTGTTTCTTTTTTAAATTTAAAACTCGTCCTCCCTCTAACCCATCCTTAGTTACTTATTCATAACTCTAGTTACCTATTCCTTCTTTTCACTTTATAATAATAATAATAATAATAATAATAATTACAACAACAACAATAATAAAATATTATAATAAAATATAATTCTCATATAATTTACTCAAAGCAAATATATAAAATTGTATTTCAACCTTAAAATGCTCTCTAACATCATTCTTTTAAATTTTATAATAAAATATATATTATTAATCTAATTACGAAAATATTGGGTGTTATGGTTACCGCTTGAGACAAATTTTTTTTTTTTTAATTGAGTGAAGGTAGAAAATTGTAAGAGATACAAATGAGAATAACTAATTTTATTAACATATCCTTTCAATTTTTACTCCTTTATTATTAAACACACGTTGAGATTACATATTTTGTCACTAAAGAAATCTTCTGCATCTACAACTCTTCACAAACCATACTATAAGAAATCTTTATACCATCATCATTTTGTGCAGATTATGATTTTGCAATAAAGTGTGGTGGTCCTCAAATTACTTCTTCAAATGGAATTGTGTTTGAAATGGACAACCAAACACTAAGTCCAGCTACCTACTTTGTTAGTGATACAAAGAGATGGGGTGTTAGTAATGTAGGATTATTCACTGGGAGCAACAACCCTCATTACAAAAGTTCTATTTCTAATCAGTTCACTAACATTGTGGATCCAGAGCTCTTCCAGACAGCTCGAATCTCTGCTTCATCACTTCGATATTATGGCCTAGGGCTGGAAAATGGTTTCTACAACATCACCCTCCAATTTGCAGAAATAACTATTTTGGATAATTCGGAATGGAAAAGTCTTGGGAGAAGAATCTTTGATATTTATATTCAGGTAAACACAGCTTGATATAACTCATTGGTGTTTCATTGGAAAGATAATCTTATATATTTTACTTGTATTGAAAAAATTCAAGTATCGTTATGAATTAAATTATATTTGCCTGTAATTTTTGTTTTATCACCATAATAATGATAATTCAAATTAATTGTAATAGATATACTAATTGTTTAGGTAATTGGATTTTGAGTGACATGAATGATAATTTAATAAGTTTAGTGTATTTTATAGGAATTCAAATTATCTTGGTTGATGGTCACAATCATTGCATGACCTGGATCTATATCAATTTTGGGATCTTCAATTTCCAAGTGATATATAATCTCAATTCGAAATCTTCAGTGAAGTGAAAGAGTGATAGTTAATTTGTTTCATTTTTCTTCCACC